AAACATAGGCCATCTCACTCTTCTACGATCGTAGAATCGTAGAATACTATCCTAGAATCGTAGAGGAGTGAGATAGCCTAGGTTTCTCTCTCACTCGCGGGAATTTGACGAACTCTGATGGCCAGTATCTCTGCTTACAGGGTCTCTAGCCTCAATTTGCTCGGAATTATAATTCAGGAATGTCTCTTCGGTAACAAAAAAATTCAACATTCGATCAATCGCCGTTAACGCGCCGCGTACCTGCGACCGAGCGACTTTTTACGAGCGCGCGTTGTCGTTTGATTAACGCGCGAAGGACGGCTCTATCACGTTTGCAAAACAAACGGATGATGAGACACCGCCGTCGGAATTCGCGCCGCTGCTGTCGCCCGCCGTTTGGATTCCCGCCGATTGTTTCTCTCGCGTTAAATAAAGCCGTCTTTCCCCGACTCTAGTCGCGCGCGCGACCGCCGGATTTCAGATCGAACAGGTTTACACGATACACGCGGTGAATCACAGTCCGGGCATCCCGAGACGAGCCACGGACAAGTACCGCAAATCGCCCGCGGCGATTCCTCATTTTTATCCGCATTCCGCCGTTGCACCGCATTTCGTACGTGCGCATTCCCACGCTTACGTCAATCCCTCGCGTCCGCTGCGAGTTAGACGCCGCCGTTGCATCGCACCTACAATTAAGGACGATCAGTCCCGGCGAGAGGGGAAGCTGGCCAGCGCAAGGTCGTGCCCAAGGCTCCATTGATGACCCTGCTCGCCGTGTTGTCGTCCGTCCGTCGCGAAGGTCCGCAGGAAATGCAATGGAAGTGCATTCGCGAGCGTGGGATATACTTTTTTATTCGAATGCGCTCCTGCGATCCTCTCGCCTCTGAAGGTTGGCGCGAGGCGACGTACAGTGATAGACAGAATGGCTGCGAAACTTTTTCTTTTAATGAGTCTAGGAACGCATTTGGATTCAAGTTTATGTTCCGAAGCATTTGCTGTGGGAAAAATTTTACTCGAGAAATAGATCGGAACCGCTCGAAATGGTTTCCGAGTTGCCATCGAGTGAAATAGTCCTCGGAGAAGGAGATTTTGGAACGTAATCTAAACGCACGTACTTAAACTCATTTAAAAAAAAGTGTCGCAACCATTCTGTCCATTACCGTACACTTAGGCATCACTGATGCCTTCCCATACGTGTGAATTTGGGCACGTGTATATGCAAAATGTATAAATGCGTTGATGCGTGCACAAGTTCATGCGGGAAGGCATCAGTGATTCCTAGACTGGTATCGACAGTCTGATCTTATATTCAAGACCGTCTTAAGATCATCTTTAAATACTCCGCGGCCAATGAAATGTTCCATCATAGCATTTTAGATAAATTCAAGACTGTCTTGAATGTAAGATCTGAACTATGAATACCGGCCTAGGAATCACTGATGCCTTCCCATGTGAATTTAGTTAATGTATATGCAAAATGTATAAATGTGTTGATGCGTGCACAAGTTCATGCGGGAACGCATCAGTGATTCCTAGGTCAGTATTCATAGTCAGATGTTATATTCAAGACTGTCTGAAGGTAAACTCTAGATACTCCGTGGCCAATGAAATGTTCCGTACAACATCTTTAAGCCTCCGCTACAATGATTCTCGGTTCTGTCTACAATGGTCGCAGTCTTAGAATCGTAGAGTCATGGATTGGGTCGTATCGATGTACAACTGAAACCGATTTTCTGTTTTTGAGGTATTTTCCCACGATATATTCGACATATAATGACACACGACATATAACACTATTCTCTGATTGGTCCGTCGCGGCAATAAACGCAGTCGTGGTCGTTGGAATAGGAATTGAACCTATTCGAGCGACTACGACTACGACTGCTCAAGCGACCATCGATACAACTGTACGACCATTGTAGACAGAGCCGAGAATCATTGTAGCGGAGGCTTTAGATAAATTGAAGATGGTCTTGAATATAAGATCCGACTATGAATACCGGCCCTAGTGTACACTTTAGACATCACTGCTGCCTTCCCATATGAATTTAGGCACATATAGGGCACATATACATTTTCCTCGTACATGCAAAAGGTATAAATGTGTTGACGAGCGCACAAATTTATATGGAAAGGCATCGGTGATGTCTAGCGTACTCGTACGCGTTACTCCGCGCGCAATACTGACGCGATATCGGAGATTGCTCGCTATTGTCTCGTAGAAAGAAAAAAGAGTCGCAAAGCGAATATCGATACCCTCTCCTTTCTCCGGCTACGCTCTAATCGGTGGCTTTCATATTATTCCGTAACAAATGCTGGGTTACTTACCGCGCACGTAATACGATACACTTACGTACACCCGTGTCGTGCCTCAATACCGTATTTTAAGCGAAGAATCGGAAAGATACCATTACTGATCTCGCTAAACACACGACGCGCGACTTTCTCTGTGTGCAACTGCTATTTTATTTTATCCGGGCGACTTCATGCACGACTTGCATAACTTGATAAGCGGTCGCGGTTTGGTGGCGCTCGAAATACCGTACAATACCGCCGAGCACGGCGCACAATTGATCTCCGACCGAAACGTTTGCCTTGCATTAAGATTAAAATTGATAAAAGTGCAGATATAGTTTCAAATCCCATTCACCGCATCACGGACTGTTTTCGTCCGTGTTCCGCCGATGATTTGCGTATCCGCGAAACGGAATTACGTAACGTCCTCGTGAAACGTACGATGATATTCCGACCGCTCTTAACAGTGGATCATAAAGCGATCACGTCATAATAGCCAATGGCCATTTATACCGATCTATTATCTCTTTCTCTGTTCCTGTCCCGAGGGAGCTCCGTCGTGCACCAGATACGTAACGTCAGTACGCTAAGAGCGCGGACTAATATTTTCATCTGCGACCAGTGAGTTTTCTAAAAACACGATTTCATTGTGCTCCATGTATTTTTAGCCGAAGAGCGCGGGGGGGGGGGAGGAAAACAGAAAGAACGAATCGTTCTGCATTTCATTTGGTTCGCTTTGCCTCCTGCGAGTGTTTTTTCGAGGACAAAATTGTATCAAAGTGAAAGTGCTCGGCCGCCAATCGGCCGACAAGTCGCCCCGATCGCAAGGTATATAATTGATAAAACGAGACGATGCTAATTAAGCGCGCTATAAACGCATCAAGCCGTCACCGCGACGACGTGCCGCCGGAAGTTCCGACTTTCGCGTACGCGCGATTGACCGGATATTCCGCGAGCCCCCGAGCAGAAATGCGCGAGTGCCGCGGGAACCATTAACAGCACCTTCTCTACTTCATGCCTGTATTTCAGGCTCATTTAACAATGTAATTCCGAGTCGACGAGCACAGAAAGTGAGACCGCCTTTACAGGAAACACAATTTTCGAAAGCGGCTCTCGTAGTGGAAAACCTCGTGTCTTCCATGAGTTTTGCATAACGCGAATTTAGAGAAATATCCAGGCAGTTCATTTATACTTGTTGTACGTCACACAAATCTCCCCGGTCCAATCGTATTTCAAGTACTCGGAGCGTGTTCCCGCACGAACTTTAGAACCGACCGCCCTCCCCGCTCACGGGCGGCGATGGATACGCAATAATGAGCGACATCCTGGCGCATGATGACCGTACGCGTTATAATTAATGTTTCTCGGAAGACCTCTTAAACCCTTACGTCGGCCAGATAAATAGCACGGATACGCGTATCAAGACGAATGGATGTTGATGCACGGGTCAACTATGAATGATTGGGGACAACGTGTAATCGGAGCAAAGGTCTGTGATCTAGAAGATTTCCATGAGATTTACTAGATTGCCATTAGCCGCAACTGCGCGTGTTGCAATTGTAGATAATCGCCGTTTTCCACTCTGACTTTTGCAGGAAAACACATCTCTAGATGCTTATTAATACCCCACGAGGGGTTCTGCCTCCCCCCCCCCCCCCTTAATATATCGAAGTTACAATTTTGTTAATTAAACTGCAGAACACGAGGCGCTTGAAATAAAGTGATTTTACTTGGAGAAGTAAATCCGCGCCGGGGCACGGTCATTTTTCATCCATCGCGTGTAGCTGCGCAAGACTAGGTAATTACTACGTTGACAGACTCCTACGGCACGTGGTGCGCCGAGTGTTTTAAACCAAACATACTCGTCGCGCAACGAAAGGTCCCTTTCATCACGATAATTATGCAAATGCACTCACGATCGCTTATAACGCCGTGTATCGGCGTATCCTCGGTGATATCGATCTCCCTCGATGCGCACGAAAAAAAAAACAGGTAAGCCGCTTCAGGCGCATGTATCGCGCGGGCTCATCCGCTGAGACGCACGGAGGAAATCTCAAATAGTGCGAACGGGGGACTCGCCTCGGCGCGTCTCTCCTCCCACGGCACACGCGTATCGTCGAGATGCAACCACTGCACTTGGACGACGATGCACGAGCGAGTAGCCTCCTGCGCAGCGTGACCGGTGATCTTTATATCGGTGGATCCTCTACTGGCCCTGCGCCAGTGTCTCCCGTCCCACTCTGTGGTCCCGCGACGCGACTTTTGCGACGCGACGCGACGCGGTGCGACTTTTGCGACGGTGCGCGACTCGACGCCCCGACAACCGCGTGCGATATTCGCGCATTCGGGGCACCTCGTGCGCCACACCACGGTGCGTTACCACCACGTTGCCTGACCGCGTGGCGCACCGGAGGAAGGGAATGCCGCGTGTGCAATGTCGCCGGTCGCTCCTACGACTGTCGGCCCGAAGGCATCGTCCTGTCCCGTTCGAACACCTCGCACACCCTTCCTTTTTCGCAGCGGATTCGCGATCGCCCCTGCCCCCTGCCCCCTCCCCTCCCCCCCCCGGCTCGTTCTCTTCAAGTCTCACCTGTCCGAATCGACCGGCAGGTTTGATGCCTGGCTGCAGGTTTAAGTACCGTCGCCTACGTACCGGGGATTCACCGGAATTGCATCTGCGAGGCGTCCGATCAACGGTGGCTAATTGCGACATGATGCAGCGCATTCCGATGACTCGAAATCATGTGTACGTCGTTGCCCCATTGTTACCGATAAAACTTAACATTGTCACGTTAACGTCAAGCATTTACGGATTCTCTTATCTTGTCTTTTAATAGAGGAAAGTCCCGTATTATGAAATAGGATTCTAATACGGGATAGCGGGGTTTCTGTTAAATTAACAGGCATCATTAGTTGACTCCGCCGTGAATTTGTTGCCCTCGGGGCGAAATTTGTTCAGTGGAAAATTCATTGTTGGATTGTGTAACCGTTGCGAAAACAGATTTGTGATTGAATTTGGGCGTTGAGGACCTGCTATCTCATAACAGAGGACTTTCCTCCATTTATAGTTAGCATAATTACATATACATAATTGTACGTAGATAAAGGCCCGTATTCTGGACCCTCTTTTATCAATAAAGGCGCCTCTAAAAGTGGCTAATTAGTCCTCTGACTCTTACCGATAAAAGAGGGTTCAGAATTAGGACCAAAGTGTTACAATAGGAAAGAGAGGCGAAGATAAGATAAAGTTATGCGTGTAGAGATATTACTCGGGAGAGGATCTTTCTGAGATGCATCTGAATATTTTTTTTTTTCGAGCGATTATCCCGGCTATAAACATGCGTAAGGCGATTTATTGCTCGCGCGCACCGCGCTTGTAAAAATCAAGGTCCCCTTTTGAGCAGCTCTGGGCGCCTTGTGTTCTCTCGACGATGGGCCAGACGGACATAACGATCTTTACTTGCCTACGCGGGCGATGCGATCGCTGTCCGAGACGGAAATGGAAACGGGAAAACCTACTTCTTACCGGACGACACCGTCTGCGTGCGCAAAAAAAAAGAAAGACTCGAGTCGCCAGGCCCCGGGACGCCAGGAATTTCGGTTCGATCTCTTTTTGGATCTTCGTTCTTAATAAATTCCTTGATCTCGAACAATAAACGCGAGACATCGCTTGTGCCGTGGAACAGCGAAGAAATATCGCTCGTGTAGAACAGCAAACAAAATATCATTCACATTACGTCACCGTTTAATACCATTTTTGTTTTCTTCCAATTTACGTATATTATATATTTTACGTAATGATTATCTGTTAGACGGTTGTGTGTGATAAGGACAAAATTGAAATAAGAACTTTCTCGGCTTTCACCGAGAAGTCACGGTCCATTAATAGAAAGCAATTCGCAGATATATCGGCGCCGCTTTGAATGCTGCGAGTATGAGGCGAATTCGTAGCCGCATATAATTTTACCCGTATCTAATGCGCTTCAATATCCAATGCGAATATCGTGTCTGCACCTTGTCCCGAAGCTAGTAATGAGTGCCAGAACCAGATAGGACGAGTCCGCCAGTAATGGTGTCGCTTATAAGTAATCACGTCGCGTGTGTGCGAGTAACACCGATCGCATATCAATTGCCGCGATGGACAGATAAGTTCAACAACGCCAATATCAAATTAGTCACACATAACATTTTCATACTGACGCCCATTTGATCGCCAGCGGGATGTGTGGCGAGTAAAATATCTACCGAGGCACAGAACGGTTCGGCAACTCGATGACCTACGTAAAAATTTCTCCGCGTTCGCACGAGCGATTTTCTTTCCGCAGCGATTCCGCGTTTATTCAAAACGTTTGTTTAACTTTGGTGATATTAATTACTTGTGGCTCGCCGTAAAGGTTCGACTACCTTCCGCGATTATTGCGAGAGGAATCCCCCGCTGGGTAATTTAATAACGGACTCGGGTTATTGTATGGTAAAGAGTTTACATATAAAGAATCGAGACTCGCACGCCAGTCATGCGCGCACGAGAGTTTAGCTCGAAGGTTTCGTACTGATCGGTGAGATCTCGTATTACTGTAAAAGTTTCGTGGCTGAAGCATCGTGTACTTTCGACATATATTGCCATATATAATAATTGATATATGTATATAATGAAGGAGAAAAGAGATTGTCTATTATCGTGCTCAGGAGATAATGCCGTATTTTCCATACCCAGCAAACCGAGTCAAATTGATTTACCTCGCACGAGCGTCGATAATCTATTTACTATTGATGCTGAACCCGAGTACGATTAGTCCTTTCACGCGGCCAAATTTGGAGAACGCGCGAGACCGCGTTTCCCCTCGCGGTTAATTACACGATCCACCGCAATGTCGTCACTGTATTCTCGGGCTGTGACGGTATTATTCAAGTGCAGACATGACGTTATTACGCGTGACGTTTCGTCGTGACGCATTACCGGCCGCGCATCCGACGTGATCCAACGATAGGTGAGAAGATCTTTTTTAAGTGCCGTTCATTCACACACGCGTGTTTTCCTCGCGAGCGCTTTGAGTCAGCGATCAAGGTTGCCCCGCGATTCGCCGCGATGAGAGTCGATCCGCGCCTCGAAGAAGACTCCGCTGCTGTCGGTCGAGATCCTCGCGAACGAACGCGGCGGGTGCGCCTTATTTCGGACCGTCTGACCGCGTAATGACTCATCGGAAGAGATTCGCGGCGTTATCAAGGTCGGCATACGTTGTCCTTCACGTTACCGATTTTTTAAGCGCCGCGCCGTCGTATTGTAAAACTGGGCGCGGGTTTCTTTGTGGTTCTTCATCTACATTCGAGAATAATATGCTGGTCAGGGAAATTGATCGCGGGTGTCACGCCTGAACAGAGAAGATGACTCGGGCGTACCGTGTGCCAAAAAGAATTGTCCCGCGATGACGATATCGTGACGGCTCGTTGGAGACGCTTCGTTAATATCTTATATTTATTTGCAATAGCAGACACTGACATCATATTTCTGTTTATCGCGAATCGGTCTCTACATTAATTGAAATAATTTAGCAGTTAATCCTCAAGTTTATGTACATGCAATCGCGTCTGTAATAATAACTGTCTTCCTTCATCGAATGTTATTTCGGCCGATAAGTTTGCATTTTACACGCGTGAAGTTATTACGGAGCTGGCTGCAGATTTAAAAAAAAAAGAGCGATGTCGGTAAACGAGGACATTTAAATCAGTCAAAGTGTTTTACAAGTCAATCGTGGGGCCAAAGAGATGTTATCTTGAGTTATTTAGTCAATACGGTTCGCTAAGCATGATCGATCGTGGTTCGTGACATTTCGCGGTTGCATCGCCATATTAAAGCTACGCGCATATGTATAAAGTGGCGAGTAAAGTGAATAGCTTTATTGGGGAATTGTTGTTAGCCTTTGTCAAAAATGTGCGGGAGACACGTGTACGAGCTTTAGAGAAGTTTAGATGTAATCTTCCTATTGTTTAGTCAACCCTCGTGCTTATTAGCGCGCGTGATTGACGGGAACAGTTTCGCTCGATGCACAATCTCGTTGAATTAACTTCGCCTTCTCTAACGCGCCATTGTATTTATTATGTTGCGTATCGTCTCCTCGATCGCGAATTTTAGACCAGAAGCGTGAACGAGTTGGAAAGTTGCGAGTGGAAATCGCGGGAGATCACTCGAAAGATTTTTCTTCGTAGCACTTCCTGAGACCCGGCCTTGGCGTATGACACCTCGAGATCGCAGTGAGATCGTAGTCTTTCGGTGTCTTGGCGCTTCCCGTATCGTCGAGGCTTTTCATTGACCTTCGTCATTGATTACAATGTACTAAGTGCCAATACCACTTTTAGCATTTAATTTGAAACCTCTCGACACGGGATTTAAACACATTAAAATCCGAGCCAATACGTCACGTACATATTCAATTTCGTTAAATTCTGCGCGATTGTAAGAAATATAGCGGCGTGCAAGTTCAGCGAGCACGTAATCGTTATACAACTAAACATTATGCAAGTGAAATTATTTACCACGATAGCACGATACTTGACAATTTTTCTACTTACGGTTTACAGTCGGACATGAAATATTATTTAAGTACAGCCCGGAATCCTGAAATTTCTATAAGTTGCATCGCAAAGTCAATATGCGGGGAAACTTTCCATCTTGTGTTCGGAGAAAGATGCTATCATTTATTATTCTTTTCTTTCGGGGAAAGGGGGGCATACGCCGCACGGGCGCAAACGACCTGTGTGCTTCTCGCCGGAGGCGTACGATCCATTGTTCGTCATCGTGCGCGCCTTCATTTTCCCGCGATTTTACACGAAAGTGAGAAGACAATTTCTCGCGCATCTTAACGAGCGCGGCTGAGAAGTGGGTTGAATTGGTTAATTTCAAGATCACGGCGAAAAGGTTGCTCCCTGTGACCGTGCGCCGTGTTACGGCCTTTAACCGGGGTTTTAATGCCGCTTTGTTGGGCTTATCTGGGACGTAGAAACTGTGAAGTGAACATGCACTTCGCATTCGCTTTTATCCATAACGATTTCACGCTAGAAGCGAGGTGTCATGTTTTCACCTTAATCTAGCGCCTTTATTTAACGCTAAATACGATATCCAGATTATCTGTTTCACATATCTAGGCGAGAAGTCACGATATTCAGTGTTGTTAAATATGTTATAGATTTAATATTGCGCTCCTTCGGAAATAAACTGCCCTGGAGTCTTCCGAGAATTATTTACGAAGAAGAT